TTTTTTTTTTTTACAATCATTATAAATTCAGGGAATAATTACTCCAGGATTAGAGTTACATAATATGATATTTTTATAATAGTTTAAACAGTGCACCATGTCATACCTTGAAAGTTGTGCTGAAACTTTTTTCTTTTTTAAAATTATTTTTATTTAAAATTTTTTTTTTAGTTGTAGATGAACACAATACGTTTATGAATTTAAATATTTATTTTTATGTGGTGCTAAGAATGGAACCTAGGGCTGGGGGGGCGGCTAGCGCAGGCTGGGGGCACAGGCAGGGCACTGCACAGGCAAAGATGCAAAGCTGAGCAGCATCCAGGGCCACGTGCTGGAGCCGGCTGCCAGTTACCTAGCAGCCCCAGCACCAGGCTGGGTGTGGAAGCCAGGGTTCAGGGTTAAAACCCCCAGGCCCTAGTGGGGGTTAGATGCAGCCCCCGCCTGGCGCTGTCCAGCCTGGCCACAGTGCTGGGCTGAGCCTCTGGTGCTGCCCACCGACAGACCCTGTCCTGGTTTTGCCTGGGGTGCTGTCCAGGACCTGCTTGGCACCCTGGGGTCTCTGGCGAGGGGAGCGTCCTGCTGGGCAGGGCCGAGAGTAGCCTGCAGTGTGGAGGCCCACGGAGAGGTCTGGTGGGAGCCGAGGAGCCTGTGTGTGTGCAGCGGGTGGGTGCCTCAGCCTGGGAGCGGGGCCTCGGGGAGGGAGACGCCTGTCTGATTGGGTATTTGATCGTAGGCTGCCTCCCTCAGCTTGTGTGATGCCGCACGTACTCACTGCAGAGTCCAGGCCCTGCAAGGGATCTGCCTGCTGTAATCCAGCCACCCGAGAGGCCCAGGTGTGGGCTGCTGCCGCCCCGCTCTCCCTGAGCATCTGCCGGGCATTAAACATTCATCAGAGTAGGCTCCAGGCCCTGCGCCTGCCACCAGGCGCCTGATGGCTGTGGGATCCTGGGTCCAGCTGGTCCAGGGTCCCTGCACCTCCCTCCGCTCCTGGGCCATGAGGGGCGGGCTGTGTGTGACCCTCGGGCTGAGCACCTGCTGCTTGCTGCCCTGCTCGTGCCCTCTGGCTCTTTGGAGTCCGGGCAACCAGTGCTTTCTGGTTCCTCAGAACCACCTTGATGAGGTGCCTGTGTGTGACGCCCCCCGACACCCGCCGTGTGCCCACACACACCAGCGTCGCCTGTGGACCTGGTGCCAATGTGGGCCTACAAGGGAGAGCAGGAGGTCTGTGGGGAGGTCGGTCAGTTCCCAGGAGGTCAAGGTTGTGAAGAAAAGCCAGGCGTGGCGGTTGCAGGTTTTCAATGAGGGCCTCAGGGAAGCATTTTATACCGTGCCGATTGTGCAAGGGAAGACAGAGGGCCATGGAGGTAGTTGTGGGAGGAATGTTCCAGAAGAGAGACCAGTAAGTGCAAAGGCCCTGAGGCAGGATGTCTTTAGCTGATGGGGTCCTGAGGAGGAGACTGGGTGGCTGGGCCCGTGGTCCCTGTGGACAGGGGCCTCCTGGAGTGGTTTGGGCCTGAGGAATGAGGGGGAGTGGCAGTGGGAACAGGGTAGGTGGGGGGTTGAGTGGCCGGGAGCTCCCCATCTGCAGCTCTTGGTGAGAGTTCAGGGCTCTGATCGGAGCCAGGGAAGGCAGCCCGAGGGCCCGGCCTCCGGGTGCCTGCGGTGTTTGGGAACAGCCTCCGGGACTGGCCAAGGGAGGGGTATGTAGCAGGATGGGGAGGAGGGGACTTGGCCCTGGACGCCGGGCAGTGTGTCCTTGCTTCTGACCAGTGTGGGCCGAGGCACACAGTTTTAGAGGAGACACCAGCCTTTCTGGACGGGGCTGTCACAGCCCAGGTGACAACTCACCTCTGCCGGCTGCTGGGAGCAGCATCAGGACCTGGGCCAGCGGTACAGCGGAAGGGGTGTGCAGGGCCCACCCCAGGCCCTGCTGCAGGGTGGGGGTGGCCTTTTGATCTCCTGCCTGGTCTTCAGGGCCTAGCTCAGGTGTCACCTTGTGAGGCCTCCAGAATAATTGTCCCCCAGGCCCCTGGGCGGATCCAGGCTTGTCTGCAGGTGGCCTGTGTGCACCCCCTTCACAGTCAGGTGGCACTCATCCAGAGACCTGCTAGGCCCTCAGCGAGCAGTCGGGATTGGCTTGCAGCATCATGGCCGTCACCACAGTCACCTTTGGGCCCTAAACACAGACCCCGTAGTGGTGGGCACCCCAAGAAGCAGACCTGTGAGGAGGCGCAGGCTCCTGGCTCTGGGCCCGAGTTGCTCTTAGGTGGAACGGTGTCCTGTCCCGTGTCATCGAGCCCCATGATCTGGGTTTCAGAAAGTTCTAGGCAGGGTTGGCAGGCCAGAGCCAGTCCCAGTGCAGCCTGAGCGCCCCGGTGCCCGGCTCGCTGTGGCTGGGACCCCCGGCTCGCTGTGGCTGGGACCCCCGGCTCGCTGTG